AACCAAACCGATATCTCCGAAGAGCATCTTTTCCAGAACATCGTACATTTATTCGTGCCTATGTAGCAAGAGAAATGCCTGGGAGATGAAAAAGGCCGAGGATTAGCGTAGATGCTGAAGATGTGGTACTACAGTTGACTGAAAAAAAAAATAGTTTAAAAATCTGAAAAAACTCGTTTTTATAGCTAACCTAACAAAAATCAGAAAATAATTTTCGATTTACAAGGACTTTATAATACAGTAGTAGATGGTCGAACAATTAATCATTACTAATGACCTCAAAATAAAATTATAATAAAAGTTATTAACAGAATAATTCAATTCAGAGTAAAAAGCGTGGGGTGCTTGTTATATTAATTGTTACAATCATTCTATTGGCAACTGTCTATGAGAGGAGAGTTATAATTTTATTTTGACGTCATCAATCATGATTGATTGTACAACCATCTGCTACTGTAATATAAACTTTTTGTAATTAAAAATGATTTTCTAATTTCTAGTTCGGTTAGCTATAAAAGCGTGTTTTTTAGTTTTTTTAAACTACTATTTATTTTTCATTTTGTAGTTCGATTTATTAATTAGTTTTTTGTGGACATGTCATCGGTCCCTGATACGTGTGCGAAGTTCAAGTTTATTTGCACTATGACTTTTGGGACACCCTGTATTTCCGACTCGGATATTTCCAGTATAGTTGGCGAAACGTACGTTTATATCACATTTACATTAATGCCATAAAAATTCTCATGTTCGCGTGCCTAGAATGACCAGAAATCATATTAGTCAAAAGGAACGATGATAGACGTCAACGAATAAATCAAGACTAATGAACACTGTAGCATTAATTTGCAAGAATGACTTCTTGCTTAAACGCCCGCTTACATGCTCGGGTGTGTCAGGGCCACACCCATGCAGCCCTTTTTTCATACAAAGGAATTCAGTGTGCTGGCCTCGAGGTGTTTGAAAGCTATCTTGATGCTGTTTTAGCTAAAGAAATTGCGAGAACATGTTATTTCAGCAAAAATGTAGGACAAAAGCAACCATTAGCATATTCATTCTTCTCGATTTTTTCCTTGTCAAATGGTGACCCTGTTATCACTCAGAGCAAACATACATCCATGTTCTATCATTATCAAGGTACCTCCATGTCTTACTACCCATAAGTAAATTATTCGTTCTCATTTTTTCCTGGCGTTACTTTTCATAAACCTTGTTTTGTCTTATAGGACGCCATATTGGGTTTTGCATAGGTAAATAGTTTTTAGTGCTGATGCTAAAAATGCATAATATGCTATGCAGTTATTTCAAAGAAACAACATTCTCTAAGTGGGTATTCAAAATGTCAGATAGTCACTTGTTTTATAATATCATCAGCCAAGCACCTTTTCAGTCTCTACGAACTTCGAACAGGTGAAAAGTCTCTATTTCCGGTTCTAATGATGTGTAGGCTACATACCATGTTGTGGATAATATACTCTGTGACATATAAATCCGAACACCCAGTTTAAATGGTTTTATTTTAATAAAAGTTGGTGAATGTATTTATCTTACTGTAAATAACAAGTGAAAAAATTTTCAGCCTTATCAGTTGGACATTCCGGTTTTTATACTACTTTTTTTTAATTCACAGTAAAGCCGCAGTAAAGAATCAACGTTGGCGGATTTTAGTTCTTGACATCCTTTACGATCGGTTACGATGCCTAGAGTACGGAGACCTGTACGATTTCGTCAACTTAGTGAGTTTGATAGGGGCCGTATAGTGGGACTTCGAGAAGCTGGACTTTCTTTTCGGGCAATTGCAGTTAGAGTGCAAAGAAGTGTAGACACTGTGGTTAGGTGTTGTCAGGCATGGCTTCGAGAAGGCCGTACGCAAAGAGCAAGGGGCACTGGACGCCGCCGTAGAACAACAGACCGTGAAGATCGCCGCCTAAGATTATTGGCCTTAAGGGACCGTTTCTCCACTACCAGGTCCATTGCAAATGAATGGTTTGCAGAACACGGAAGACCTATTGGCATGCGAAGTGCTTACCGACGAATGAGAAGTTTTGGCTTGTTTTCATACGGGCCACACTGGGTCCTACCTTTAACTCGAGAACACCGACGTAATCGCCTTGAGTGGTGCAGACAACGGTCACTCTGGGATCAGGAATGGAACAGTATTGTCTTTAGTGACGAGTCTCGATTTTGTTTAGGCATGCACGATGCTCGTGCCAGGGTTAGAAGGCGACGTGGTGAAAGGAGGAATCCACAGTTTTTTGTTGACAGACATGTTCATCACACTGTTGGAGTTATGGTTTGGGTTGCTATAGCTTATGGTTCCAGGTCACCTTTAATCTTCATCAGAGGTAACATGAACGCGCAGCGTTATATCCACGAAGTTCTAGAACCCCATCTTTTACCCTATCTTGACACCCTGGCAGATCCAACTTTCCAACAAGATAATGCCCGACCACATGTTGCAAGAGTCACAATAGACTTCTTTCAACATAATGATATCACATTGTTACCATGGCCACCAAGATCTCCCGACTTATCCCCAATTGAGCACGTGTGGGATATGATGGGTAGGAGATTGCTCAATTTGCAACGTCCTCCTCAGACTCTAGAAGCACTTCGAGAGGAATTGGTGGTTGCCTGGAATGAGATACCACAGGAGGACATTGACCACCTGATCAGAAGCATGCCTAGGCGCGTTGGAGAATGCGTAGCACATCAGGGTGCATCCACACATTATTAAAGGTCAAAGGGCTTTAAAGCAGTGCAATTATTTTGAAATTTTTATCATTTACTTATTATGCTTCATTAAGTACTTATACAAAATTTTATTAAAATAAAACCATTTAAACTGGGTCTTCGGATTTATATGTCACTTAGTATATTATAAAACTTCAGGTATCTAAAAAAGTGATTCTCCCGTATTTCTTAACTCATCGAGTAAGGGGCAACTTGACGTTAAAACTACTTTATCTTATTTAGTTTCCACTAAATAAAAGCCTCGACCGTGTAGCAGCTTCATAAACACATTTTACATCCGCCTTATTCAAAATAATGCACACATCTTGCTAAGACAAAGAAACACGATCTATTCAATTAAACTTAAATGTACTAAAGCAACAATCAGTGAGTGATACAGTTTGTTGAAAAAGTTCCGGATAACGATAAATCACCTCGAACACCATTATGTCGGAAAGAAAGCGCTCTTATGCGAATGATTTTTCCCTGTTATGTTGAAGTTTGATTCAAGATCAAGACTATTTTTTACAAAGCCATATTTGGCTAATGAAATGGATAGTGGGATGATGAGTTATTGGCCTCAAAACAAGTTGACCTTGGCATGTCATGATCTACTCATTAAATATCTAATCAATAATCTCATAAAATAGTCTCATATAATAGAATTTCTATCCAAGAAGATACTTAGGATCTTTCCCTGGATATTGTACTTTTGATGGTTCTTATATTTTTAACACCGCAAACGCAGAGAGCGGATAATTATAAATGAGCAATTTAAAACGAAAAAAAATTATACCTCAGTGTAGGATCAGGATTTTTGATAGGCCATCTGACATTGAATTTGACCAAAATTTAAAAAAGGTAATTTTGTGGACAAGTCCACTCGTCGATTAAACACTATGATTTTGACAGGTACAATTTTTTGAAATCTGAGATTTGCACTCTATTCAATTCCAGTGTCAAAAATATAGAGTTAACCTCTAAATTCTGAAGGTCATATTCAAGGTTGCCGGGTAAAGGTCCATGCTTTTGCAAAATATATTGTTGATTAGTTATTGTTTATTGGTTAGATGGACTTTGAGCAAGGCCTGCAAAGGTTCAATTCTTTGGAAGTCAAGGGCAAACGTGGAAGTTTCCCGTGCAAAAAAATATTCAAATTCGACGACATCGTCAGATCACTTAAACGCACGGTGTTTGAGATTATTTTCAGTATCGAGGATTTTGAACGCCTCAAATATTGAGCACCCCGAAGTTAAGCTTATATGAACAAGCTCTTCTTAACACTCTTACGGCAGATGTGGTATTTGGTCCCTACCTTCGTGGCTATTTGGTACAAAAATATATTTATGCAAAACGTTGACAAATACTGGGTATCACATGTTTCTGTCATTGCAATAGAAGTAAGGCTTGTTAAAAACTCGGGTGTGTACTTCATTGACATGACCTCGCTCTAAACCACAATTAAGCTCTAATAGGATGTTTTCGTGTGAATGAACCATTGTCCTTTAAAAAGCGGTATCCGTAGTGGAGAATGATTGTTACTTTAGAAATATATCTTCATTGCATGTCTAAATCACGGCAATCTATATTACTTTACCTAGTATCCAGCAAACTGAACTTTATTAGCTGTATTATCTGTGCCAGCACAATGAATAAGTAACTCGGCTTCGATAGAACCTGTATGGCGTGCTTTTAAGTCGTAACCTTGTTTTGCTGCGACCAAGATTTACTTAAAATTCAAGCAGAGCTTTATTTCACTTTTCGGTTCGATATCTGAATTCATGTTAATTTGCACTACATTACCTGTACAGGGGATAGATGCTGGATTTACCAACATAGTTAAATTACATTACATTGAGTTTAAAATAAACTACGACGGAATGTGTCAATTGACTCCTCGAGTAAGCGTTAGAAAGCTGCGAAATTTTGGCATTGAGAATCTTTTGAAAATTATGCACGCATATAAGATCCTGTAATGGGCTAACCATTCTTGTGTCAGACAGTTTTAGTGTAACAAGGGTAAGCCTTCCATTACGCTACTTTTGACAGTCTCAGCAAGAAGCGACGGTTTGCGAAGGAATAGTTTTCATCATCACCAGACTGAACCGTGTTAGTATGACAGTACTGAGTACAGACAATCATGACAGGTTCCTTATTTTTCACTTGCCTCTGGTGTGATGCTGATCCTGAAATTTCATAACGTTGTACTTCTTTCAAGGGAAAGTTAAGGTAATGTGTTACAGTTTCTTCTCGTGCTCGAGTAAAAATTAACCTTTTTGTTTATATTCCAGCTACCACGAAGGCCTAAGACCTAAACACCCATGGGTACCGTGGGGCTATAGGGGATACAGGGGAAAAGGTGGAACGCCACACGGACTCAAGCGAGGAAACACATTCTGGCCCCGCCAACGAGATCCGCAGGGTGGTACCTCCGCGTACGACAGTCAGAGACTGCCTACCACCTACATCTACTGTTTTTTTTTTTTTTTTTATACTCCAACTACCACGAAGGCCTAAGGCCTAAGCACCCATTGGGTACCGTGGGGCTATGGGGGATACATGGGAAAGGGGGGGGACGCCACACGGACTCTGGCGAGGGAACACGTGTGCATGCAACATGCACACATTCTGGCTCCGCCTACGAGAACCGCCGGGTGGTACCTCCGCGTTCGACAGTCAGAGACCATCTACCACCTACGGACAATCACAACATCCATGGCCAAGAGAAACATTTCTCATGGGACGGGACTCGAACCCGCACAGCGCACGGCGGCTGATCAGGAGACCGAAGAGTCTACTACTGCGGCCACCGCTGCTGCCTAAAACAAACACACAACATCCATGGCGAAGGCGAGATTCGAACTCGCGGCCCGGCCGGCCGGCTGATCAGTAGCACGACACTCTGACCCACGCGGCCAACCGAGGTCCCCGTTGTGATAGGAAATCATACTCTACTCGCGATCTCGTTAAAGGTAATTTTTTATAATTTCTGGCGACTCTAAATACGAGAGCTGAAGGTGACTATTTCCGGTGCTCTCGTGTAGGAATTCAGCGGCCCACTACCCGATTCTGTGAAATAGTTTCACACGCAGTACTGCGACTCTATCGGGTGGTGGCTATTTTAATAGAAAGCAGCCCCTATTAGTGAGTTTGTTATCGGAGCCATTTTTCTCAGTGATAACCCGAGTCGAATTTAAGTAGGACTCACGCCTATGAGGAGCAGTTCCCAATTTCCGTGAACTCTCATTGGTCAAGGTAATTATGACTTTTTTTTGCCTTGCTGTCTTAATCTCGTACAAATTGTAAACACAACCACCTCGTCCAAAAATTAGGCATAAAACTATCAGTAATTTTATTTATGACAGCTTAGGCATTCCTACATAACATTAGGGTTATACCTTAACCATTTAGTTAACCAATGTTCAGGTCAATATGGAATTCGCCAAAAGATATTAATTCATCAACTTATTTAGTAGTAAAAAGAGAGAAATGTTTTCAGTTTGTCATTGGTAACATTTGTACGTATTTCTGTATCATAGTACATATACTGAGAATAATATAGTGTTATTTTTATATTGCTGTAGCTTCCGATTTTGGTTGTATATTTACTGAAATTTGAGAGAGCCATGCCGCGAGGTAAAATACTCATATGGTTCTCAAGTAATATTTTAATTGCGTTACTTATAAGCTAAGGGAGGATATGAATGATTTTACTTCCGGGTCCTTATGTTTTTTACATGTATCTGATTATTTTAATTTCGTTCAGGTTCGTTTAAAAAATTTGGGTTTTGCTAGTGCAATCACGGTTTTTCTTGTACACAGTAATTAGACAGCAACTTGTTTTAATCTTAAAGTTTTGAATTGATGTAACCGAATCCTTAACGGTTCCATGTTAAAGTACAATTTTTAATTCTTGGAAGCAAACTAAAGGAGCGATAAGTAGCCAAAATCGTTATTTCGAGTTATTTCTTGACAGGTATTTTTTTTTTCTATTATATTTAGGGTTCTATCTTTGGGTTCTACCTTCAGGTATAGAGTTACATTTGGGAATTTTTGCCCTTGATTGCCTTTCAGTGGTAGCCAAGCACCTGCCGAGGTGTTTTTTTCATTTACGTTTTTTTACTGGAAACCATTTAGCTGGAGGGTAGTACAGAATAACTTTCTTTTGCTTGTCCTCCAGGACATCTTTGAATTTTTGATTTTTTTTTTATTTCCTTTATTCAATAAACTAATGTTTGTGTAGCTTGTGAGTTTGTATCTCCTTTAGCGCCAGAAATCTGACAGGGTTACTTGTTATTTCTTTTTCTAGTGCTTAGAACTAGGTGGCGCCCAAACGACAACCATTTCCATCCAAAAACCAAAGTACAAAGAACCACCCTCTGAGGACCCGTTAACTACTACTGAGCATAGTTTTCGCGGGATAACAAATGTTTGTGTTATGATTACTAGAAACCGGTGAGAAAACAAATAAGTTTAGAATCGTCGGATTACAGAACAGCAAAAGAACTAAAATAAAAAGCTACCTTGCCACATTGCATGCATAACAAAAATCAAGAAGATCTAATCAACTGAGAGCACTACCTATTTCTGTTGTTTTTATAACCTGGAGTTATTTTAATAAAACTTTTCCAGCCTTACGAGTTCCAACGACGGCATTGAATAAGGGAAAATAACCATACAGAATAAGCACTCCCGTGTTTTACGTAAGCAACTACGTATTTCCATAACGGAAGTCGAAGCATTGTGTTACAATTGCGCGAATTAAGAACCATTAAAGCCATTCAACTGATGACTGCTTAACAATTATTGATTTTTCCTTGCCTCAGTCATTTTGTTTAAGACAGTTTGCTTTGAAAACATTCCTAGATAATTTGATTCGTCAATTCAGTGACCGGCGCTACACTTGTCGTGTTTCTATGATATACTTAAATTATACATAATTATATCACATAAATTGCAAGAAATGGGTGGTCAAGTCTTAGTCTAATCATATTAGACGAAAATACCCCTGGTCTGCGGAATAATTGTTAAGTCTGGTTTTATTGATGCAATTTGTTCAACGGGGTATTTAAAGGCCGGTCCAGACGCTACGTTTTGCACAACCCTTTGTCTGCACATTCTCAGGACGGAATGAAGACGTTGCAATTTTTAGAGCGTCTACATGGTGCAGAGATATCTATATATTTCGCTCAGTTTTGTATGATATCGTCATGGAAAAGGTACTCTGGTTAATATTGGCAGGGTGTCTTGTTAAAAAAAATATTGAAATATCTCAGAAGTACCCGGCGTTCACAGTGTAGTTGCTTCAAATTCTTTGAATTATTTCACGAAACTTTCATAAGCTCTCCCCCTTTTTATCCCTGTCTCTTACTCATTGGACCTGACACATCAAATGCATGCGAAACTTTCGTATAATGCAATAAATTCAGTCATTGTCAATTGACGAATTGAAACTGACGTTTCATCTATAACGTGTTGAACTGTACAGAGAAAAGGTTGCGCTAAACATAGCGTCTGGACCGGCCTTAAAACATGGACGCATAAAACGGGTACACCAATTTTTGTGGGAAAACTTTTTATTCCACAACGAAGGATGAGAAAACGTGTCTTTTGGGATTCAATCGTACCTGTTGACAGTAACGAAAAAACTGTCCAAATAAGATTCTTAGGTATCAGATTCAGAAACACTATGTCGGATCATAGCAGACAATTTTTGAGAACATATGTCTTAAATGAGCAAATTATTAACCAACCATAATAAAACACATCCGAAAATTGTGATAATACGCTCAAGTTTTCGATACGCGTTCAAATGAGGTACCTCTTGGAGTCGCAGAGGTTGTTTATAACGTTAATTGAGCTAATCCACAGTTTTTGTATCTATCAAGTTACTGTTGAGCGTATATGCTCATTTCACCAACATCATGAGGCGGTAGGGTTTTGTTTAAGGCAAATAAGGTTTCCCACACGGTCCTTTTTCTTGTAAAAGTAATATTACTTCTTATGTGATGAGTATACGAGTATATGTAGAGCTACCTCAACACTATTGTACACTTATCGAAGTTAACATTTCTGTTTTTAAATTAATTACTTTTGCATACATATTGAGATACTATATAAGCATGATTTCGTATTAAAAAATATTTGATCCTAATAATTTTATTTAAAGTAATTCGTTCCGACTGTTGTAGCCTAACAAAACATGCAAAAAGATGTCTACGCTGTTGATGTAATGAGCATCTACGCTCAACAGTAACTTGATAAATACATAAAATATGCGTTAGCTCACTCAATTTTTTAAGCATCCTTTGCGGCTCCAAGAGGTGGGCGTTTACGCGTATACATTAATTGTATACGTCTCGATGTATACAATGCGTATACAATGAATACAATGTACACATTGCATATACAATGAATACAATGTATAGAATAGCATAAGTGAGGTTAGGTTTATTCGCAAACGTCAGAAAGTTGGTAAACAGTGAGCCGACAACTTAAAAAAGATATGGTTGGACGCTCCAAGAACAAAGAAATCGATGAACTGGGGTTCATTTGTTGTTCTTAATTTATTTAAAACTATTTCTTTGTATACGTATATAAATAAATATTATATATGTTTCCATTATTTATAAACTGCTTCCACAGTCAAACCAATAATGGAATGTTGCAGAATTTATATCTGTCCCGAACTTTCAGTTCCACCTAAAATCGTAGAACCATTAAAATCGATCTGGAATTGATGATGATGATGAAATGTGTATCATAACGCATGTTTTTCGAATAGCGTAGCGAATCCGTTCAATTACTAACAAATACGAAATGTTAGAGTTTGTTTAGAAAAAAAAACGTAACCCTTTTTTTCGCATAAAAATAACAATTGTCTTCCGGAATGGCTTGTGATTCATGTCGCCAAGGTTAAGTCATATATTTTGCTATAAAATAAATACCTAAAAATCTTATTTGGAGAGCTTTTTCGTTCCTGCCGACACTTTCAGTTGAACCCCAGAAAGCACATTTTCTCATTCTTTGTTGTCGAATAAAAAGTTTTCCCAGAAGAATTGGTGTACCCATTTTATGCGGCCACGTTTTAAATATCCTCTTGAGCAACTTGCATCAATAAAACCAGTTTTTACAATAATTATTTCAGGGTAATTTACTAATATACTATATGTCAAATGACTATTAGCGGCGGTCCACCTTGGTTCATCGTGTCCATAAGTGCTTGCCCTCACTTTTATGTAATGTAAACTATTCTCCTAGACACCACAATTTTTACCTTTTTGGAGAATAGATAGCTTTGAACTACTAATCTGTGGCGACAGTGTTGTCTTTCCTTATATTTTTCGCGAAGCATTTGAGTAGATCGTAGAATAACATGAAACCTGGAAGTCACCAATTGATCTGGTCCGAAACTAAGCCATTGGTCACCAATCTTGATCATAATTGTTACTAAAAAGATCACAAGACAATAATTGTCTGAATTAATTCCTTATCCCCTTATAGTATGATCACCGTTATGGCTGCACGTCTTTACCTGCCAGCGGCAAGGCCTGCGCTGACACCTTGTGAAGCTAGTTAATTTATTGTTTAGTTAAGGTATATTGGTTTTTCACCTTGCCTTTGTGGAAACGGGTCATTTACGTTCGAAATGATGCCTGCAAATCAATTATCATGAATTATTAGAGCTGTCGGTTGTTCGAAATAAAAGCCGTCTACCACTAGGATCGAT